TTACTATAAGAGCCAAAGTTTAATGGTCAACATGCTCTATGCTCCTCTCTGCTCCTTAGTCACATTGGTGTTATGGCACTGTTCTAGCACCCCTCAGAAACAAGTTCTTTGAGGAACAAAATGGAGTAACTGCCTATACTTACGCATATCTGGGAAACTAGAAATCCTCCCTGGGAGAAAACCACAGTGGAAATAAAAATAGCTGCCTTAAATGATAGCCAGCACTTTTCTGAAAGTGTGACCAGAGTGGGGGGTATGGGGGACAGGTGGGAACCGGTCTGCCATTGAAATGGCATGTTACACAATCTTAGCCTAACTAAATACTCTACCTAAAAATCAATTTAAATCCCCATTAAATTGAGAAAAAAAAAAAGCTGCCAGAAAAAAAAAAAATTACACAAGGCTTCCCAGAATCAGGTTTAGCTTATAAATCCTAAAATCAACCCTATATTGTCAATGAAGAGGCAAGTCAAACCAATTTTCAATCCATTAACCCATTTTTATATCATAAATGTTTTTCCATTTTGAACTATCAAAAATTTTTCAGTTTGACTTTAATAACATATATAAAGAATTAAATTTTAAATGGGTATGTTTTAGACTCAAAGCATTATCAGAAATAACTAATAAAAGAAATTATAGACTCTCTTTCCCCAACAGACATTAAGATTGAATTACTTTTGCAAACACTAATAAAAAAAAAAGGAAAGAAAAGAAAATGTTGAATTCGAGATAAGCCTCAAATGAATTACCTTTCTTTGTCAGATAGTTCATACTATTGGCTATAGCAGCAGTCTTGCCTTGAGAATCCAGAACAGTGAATCTAGCATAATCATCCACGAAGAAGTTATCTGGGGGAAAAAAATTGAAAAAGATTTATAATTAATATGCCTCAGTTTGGTGTAGTATTAATAATCAATTGATCACCTGGATTTGACCATAAAGTAAGATTTATAAAAATGTATTCGTGAAGTATATTAAGATCCATTTTTATTGAACAAGTTTACACCATGGCCCTTACCCCATTAATCACACTTTAGGATGCAACATTAATGAATAATGTACATATCTCACATAGCCATCACATACGTACATGTCAGTTTAATGGTCAACATTCATCCTGTTCCCACTACTGTCACATCAAAACTGGCAAACAATGTCTTAAAGAGATGCCCTTAACTCATCCCTAGTCCACTAGAGTAAGCTCTTCCCTATCCTACTGGGTGTGTGGTAGGGGTGTTTGTGAAAGGGAGAGAAAATATAAGAAAACTTTGATGTTTATTCTTCATTTCTAAGAAGATAATATTTTTTTTTTCCTTTTTGTCCTTTTTCGTGACCGGCAACGGATCGCAACCCTCAGTGTCGCGCCCGTACCGGACCGGGACCGGCCACGGGATCGCAACCCTCGGTGTTGCTCCCGCCCCTCGCTCAGCCAGTGAGCGGCCGGTCTGCATGTGGGATCCGAGCCCTCGGCGGGAGCGCCACCGCGCTTCCCAAGCGGCGCACTATAGCAGTGCGCCACCGGGCCGGCCCTAAGAAGATAATATTTTTTAAACCTTAACACAAACAAAAGGCCATTTTCACTATTTTAAAGTAAGTATCTTCTCCAATTAGTACCCAAGGGCGGTGCTCCTATTAATCATTTTCCTTCAGATTACACTTGCTAAAACTCCAGTTTCATCAAATCATTCCCTTGCTCTAAACTACCCATAAGTTCTCTCTAGCTACAAAATGGTCTCCAGCCTAGTATCATAAAACTTCTGTCACCAACAATCTCCCCAGTCTTAAGCATCATTACATCCCAATACAAATGCCACTCTTCTCATCACTGCCTACCAAGCACAGCTTGCTTGTCTGCCCACCTACCTACCTATCCCTCTGTGCACCTGTTCATCCACCTATCCTTTTACTCAACAATGCACACTAAGTGCCTACTATCCATTCAGTCGATATTCTACTAAAAGGAAAGCAATAGTATATAGATCAGACTCAATCCATTGACCTCATGTGGGGGAGGAGAGAGAACAATATGATCTTAAAAATAAGTATCCTTCTAAAAAGGTCCCAGGACAGCAAAGGCCAAAGAAGCCTGGGTAATGGTGCTATCACCACTGGTTCAAGAGGATGCCAGCTCCTCCTCACTGATACCTGCACTATGTTCAGCTAACAGATTGCATCTTTGCCACTGTTGATTAGCATTATTTCATAGCTCATTACACAACATTCAGTAGGAAAAGGGCATCCAAAAACACAGAACCACTATTATGCTCCTTATTCAC